TGCGGGGGAAGTGGGGGCACCCTTAGCAGGTGGCGGACGGGCCCGGGAAGAGGCCACCCCTGAACGGAACATGGCAGGCTGGGCGGGGTTTTCTCCTTCGCCGGCGTCCTGGGGGTCCTTCTGAGCCCGGGGAGGGGGAGGAGGTAAGCAGGATCTTTGGGAAGGACGAAGGCTGCGGACGGACGGAGACCCTGAAAGCAAAGGGCGACCCAGGTGTTCTGCCTGGAGGTGGCCCGCCTGGTCAGCTGCTGCAGCTCCATCACCCTGAGGCTAGACCGCAGACGAGGCGGAGGCCTTGGACCAGAGCAATGATGACAGGGAGCGAAGGCCCTGATGCCCTGGCGCCCAGGCGTGGGCTGGACCTAAAGGTCCTGGAAGAGAAACATACCGTCGGATCTCACCTATGACTCCCATCTTTGAGAGTGGTTGAATGATGAGCTGTTCTTGGAAACGTGTGGTTAGAGTATTAGATAGACAGAGCGCCAAGTGATGACCTGACCGACCTCCACCTGCTCCAAGACTTGGCTCCACCTCCTTTTTTTGACAGTACTTCCCCGCACCTCCCCCCCCCCACCCAAAATCACTAACTCACCAAAATCTTTGTGTTCCCTTCTCAGACAGATACATTTCACACCTGGTAATAAATAGAGCTTGCAATTCGTGCAAGATATCCTGTTCAGAGACACGCTTCTTGCTTTGTTTAATGTCGCCTCTCAAGAACAAACCTCAGCTGAAGCACCTGGGATTGTAAATAGATGCATTGGTATTTATTGCCAATTATTTCGGCCCCAGGAGAAATAAAGTGAGTTAGAATACTCCTTCCCCCATGAAAGAAGTTGCCCACTTGCAAGCAAAATCCTCTCTGCTCCTACCACCACCACCCCCAAAAGGTAGGGGAAAGTCGAAAAATCTAAGGGCGTTCTAGCCAGTGTGCTAGCCAAGGTCATTTAATATTGTTTGCAGGAGGGAGAGGGGGTGGTAATCAAGAAAGAAGCAGCTGTAGACAAATCCTTTAATAAGTTTCAGTTTAATTGCCTGTGATAAAGACCTAGAGTTAGGTCAGGGATAACACTGGTGAAATTCCTACACTTTCCCATGGCCTTAGCTTCTCCTTTAAAAGTACTCATCATACTGCTATGATTTTTGCTTGTTTTCTTGCCTGTCTCCTGAATTAGCAGTTGGGGACAGTGTCAACTTCATCTCTATCATATATTAATAAATGATATCATACCCCTCCTCTGCTTAAAACCCTCCAAAGGATAACCATTTCAGCTTATCCTCAGCCCCTGGCCCTGTGCACCTTCCAGCCTTATTCTTCGTGTTCCAGCCACAACGGCCTTGCTGCGCATCCTGCCCACCTAGGACCTTGGCAGCTGATTCTCCTGCCTGGAATATTCTTCCCTCAAAGGCATAAAGCAGGCTGTTTGTCATCCTTGACGAGTTCAAATGTCATCTCCTCATAGAGGCCTTTCTTAAGACCCAATAGGAAAACCATCACCCCCGCCCCCAATCTCTCATTATACTGGAATTTTCCTTAGAACCTGAAATTTCTTATTTACTCTCTTATCATCTGTTTTTCCCTCCTAGACGGAAGGCTCCCTTCCTGTCTCTCTTTACCAATGTATTCCTGTTGCCCATTGGATGTTGTCTTAGTCTCCTTAAGCTGCCACTACAAACTACCACAGACTGAGTGGCTTACCCAACAGAACTTTATTTCTCATAGTTCTGGCAACTGGGAAGTTCAAGATCAAGGTGCCACCAGGTAGGTTTCATTCTGAGGCCTCTTCTCTTGGCTTGTGGTGACATCATCTCACTGTGTGCTCTCTCAAGAGATCAATCTCTGGTGTCTGTTCCTCTTCTTATAAGGATACTTACTAATCATATTGGATTAGGCCCCCACCCTTTTGACTGCTTTAGCCTTAATTGCTTCTTTAAAGGTGCTGTCTCCAAATACAATCACTTTGGGGGCTATGCCTTGACATATGAATTTCTCAAGGGATACAGTTCAGTGCATAATCAAATGTATAAATTTGTACCCTGTATGAACCCATAGGGCAGGATCAGCTGGGACACTACAGAGAATACAGAGAATATTTGGGAGCCCCAGAATATTCAGTTGGTGGGCATGAGCAGTCTGCAGAAGTGGTCCCCACATGGAGTGGGTCAGGGCCCCAGCCTGAATTTTGAGAGTCACCTTCCCTGATTACCTGTTGGGCTGGCCCTAAGGGTCCCATGCCTATGAAGAACCTTCCCCCCTGATGAATCAATAAATCCTCCCTAGGTCTCGTGTGAGTTTCAACAGGGTGACTGGGTGTCCTGAGGTCAAAAAATTCCAGCAGAAAATCTGGCAGAGTGGAGGTCTAGGCCTGGAACTATGAATTCAACAGAGATCACCCTGAACTCCCTTTTGCCCCCTCCAAACTACCATAGGATTTAACCCCAAAAGCCTCTCCAGAGCCAATCTGGGGTGACTGTTATCAGATCAGGGGCCCCACTTCCCACAGTTACATTTCCAATGAAGGACAATGAGGATTTGTGGTAGGAAGATGAACACTATGGCTGCTGCCCTTCTGTTACCAAATTATACTATTTTGCTAGGGCCAACAGCCCAACACACCTGCTTTAGAAAAATTCTCAGCAATAAGAATGTACCTCAAGACAGGTGCAGGGGGTGTCCCTGGTGGTCCAATGCTTAAGAATCTGCCTTGCAATGCAGGGGACATGGGTTCCATCCCTGGTCCAGGAAGATCCCACATGTCTGGGGCAACTAAGCCCATGCGCCACAACTTCTGAGCCTGCCTGCTGCAACTCCGAAGACTGTGCACCTAGGGCCCATGCTCTGCGGGCCAGAGAAGCCACCACAATGAGAAGCCTGTGCGCCGCAACTAGGGAGTAGCTCCCACTCGCAGCAACTAGAGAAGAGGCTGTGCAGCGGTGAAGACCCAGCGCAGCCGAAAATGAAGAAATAAATATCAAAACAGCACTTAAAAAAAGACAGGTGCTGTGAGTGCCCAGGAGGAGGAAGGTTTCTACAGGAGGTGACACGTGTGAGAAGTTAGACAAAGAAGACTCAGATCAACATCAGCTTCAGGGTGGCCTTCCCAGGTGGTTTCTGACTATGGCTGCTGTGAAGTTACCCAATGTAATGTTACACATTTTTAAAAGTAATAGATGTTATTATTCTTTTTATACAGTTAGTAAATTTTACTTTTTTTAAAGAACATATTTGTCAATGTAATTTTTTAAATTAAAAAAAAAAAAACCATTTATTTGGCTACACCACAGCACGTGGGATCTTTAGTTGCAGCATGCAAACCCTTAGTTGAGGCATGTGGGATCTAGTTCCCTGACCAGGGGTTGAATCCGGGCCTCCGGAGAATGGAGTTTTAGCCACCGGACCACCAAGGAAGTTCTGCAGTTAGTACATTTTAAAAGCCACTAACAGCCAGACTTTTGAATAATGTGAAATAGTTAAAATAGTCAAAACAATTTATAACCTTAACATACTCTTTTTCTTCTCAAGTACAATGTTCTTCTCAATTCCTGATGGACAAGCAAAATTCTCCCAATTCCTTAAGCAATTCTCATGATGACAGCCAGCACTGATTGAGCACTTAACTATGTCCAGGTACAGACTTCCTCTGTGGCTCAGTGGTAAAGAATCTACCTGCCAACGCAGGAGAGGAAGGTGAGATCTCTGGGACAGGACGATCCTCTGGAGAATGGAATGGCAACCCAGGCCAGTATTTTGCCTGGGAAATCCCATGGACAGAGGCCAGGTGGGCTACAGTCCATGGGGCTGCAAAGGTCACATGTGACTTAGCGACTAAACAAACGTCCAAACACTGTTCTAGATGTTCACTCATTTTACCCTTATTGCAGTCTCATGGGGTATTATTTTTCTTATTTTAAAGAAAACTGAATTGAGGCACCAGGACAGTTATGTGACTTTCTCAAGGTCACAGAGCTCTCAGAGAGCATGCAAAGTCCACTGGTATTTGTCCCCACGATGGTGACTGATGCCATCAGTGAGTGACATCTGTTTAGCACTTTTAACTTTCTTAAGGGGACTCACTCAAATCTGTCCCCCCATCCCCTGGGGACCCCGTAGCTACTCCGGGGAAGTGTCTTCGCTCCCCTGAGGCCGGCATCCTGCAGCCCTGGTCCCACCCAACTCTCCCTCTCTGGGTGGGCTCCTTTGCCAAGGGTGAAGGAGAGGCCCAACTGGGACCAGAATTCAGGCTGCCGGTGTCCAGCCTTTAAGGTCAGCCAGGCTGGCCGTCTTCTAGCAGAAAAGACACGCTCTGCTCCTGTTACGGCAGATGGAAGCGCCTGCTTGGGCCAAGGAGTGTCCAAGGAGCGGCCTGGTCTCTTCTCATCGCGGTTGTCTTGAGTGTGGCAAGGCCTCTGACAGCGCTGTGGGCCCAGGGACACAAGCCTCACTTTTCAGCAGGTGCAGAGAAGGTAAACAGAGGAACGGCCAGTGCCTGCGCCCCTGCGCTCGAGTCCTCCTCTCCGGAGGGACACAGGCGTTCCGGGTACACCGCCCAGCGCCGGGCACACGGTGGCTCCTCGGCGTTTCTTGAAGGAAGGGCAGCGTCTCCAAACCGTGTGCGTCATGAGCGAGGACACCTGGAGAAAGAGCCCAAAGGACATTTCTGGAGGCTTCGCAGCGGCGCGCGCGCCTCTGGGGACGCTGAGTCAGAGTCGCCGGGCGCGGGCACGGACGCGGGGCGGGGAGGGGGCGCCGACTGGAGGAGCCGGCACCGGGGAGGGGAGGGATCGAGGGGAGAGGAGGGGCGCGGCGGCGGGAGGGAGGAGGGGGCGCAGACTGGAGGAGCTGGGGCCCGGGGGGAGCGGGGAGGATCGCGGAGAGAGGCGGGGTGCAGCTCGGGCCGGGGAGGGGGCGCGACGCGGCTGACGTGGGCCGGGGTCGGCGCGGAGGGCTGTGGGCGGCGACGACGCGCAGAGAGTCCGCGATCCGAGGCGAGGACGAGCCGGCGCCGCGCCCGCACCTCCCCGCACCGCCCTCGCCGCGCGCCCCACGGGAGGCCGCCGCCGCAGTCGAGTCCAGCCGCGTCCCCTCGGCGCTCCAGCGGCTCCCGGCGCCGCCATGGCCCCGGCGCTCTGGCCGCGCCTTGGCCGCATCCTCTGGCTAGCCTGCCTCCTGCCCTTGGCCCCGGCTAGGGTGGCCGCAGGTAAGGCGCCGCGCGGATCGGCCGGCCGCCCTCCCCGGTCGGCTGCGCGCTGGGGCCTCAAGGCGGCCTGGAGCCGGCGGCCTCGCTGGCAGCCGGCGCTGCGGAGGTGGCGCCGTGCGCCTTGCGCTCACCTCCCTCCTCTCCCGAGGCTGCGCGCTGCGGAGGGGAGCACGGCCCGACGGGCCTGTCCCTTCACCCCGTCCCCTGAAGTCGCTGGCACTTGAGGGGTCCCCGCGCCCCTCGCTTCTGCTGCTCCCTCCAGATCGGCCCTGCCCTAGGAATGGCGCGGTGGCTGGGGCCTCCATTCCGGAGCCTGGGAACCTCGAAGCCGCTGGAGGTGGGGGAGGGTGCTGGGGGGGGACCGAGGATGCTGGGGTCGGTCGTCACGCCACAGCCCCCAAGGAGCGCCGCCAGGTTGCCTCCAAATGTTGCCTTCTCTGGAGAGGCTTGCCACCCAGCTCGTGTCGGCTTCGGAGTGGTGGGTGGGGGTGGGGTGCGATTTTCAGAAGCCGGGAAGCCAGCCTGCCATTTCCTCTCGGGGAATGGTTTCCAAAATGGACCCCGAGCTGATTCCGCTGGGTACCACTCCGTGTCCCCCGGGACTGTGCTTCTAGCATCCCCACCTCCTCACCGCCCGAAGGCCAGCACCCCACTTTTCTGCCCCATTTTGGCGACAAAATAAAGGGGACCCAGGTTGGAGAGTTTGGAGGAGACAGTTGGCAGCTATTCAATATCATCCAATATGTCCATCATGTGCCCTCCCCCCCTTCAAAATATGGTAGAGAGAAGAAGAGATTGAATCCTAACTTGTGAAATGAAAGCCACCAGGGAAGGTAAAAACTCTGCATTTTAGGAGTGAATGTTAAGAGAATTTTGTGCTCGGTCAGGATAATCTTCTTCTCCCTGGATATTCACATAGAAATGAGATCTGTTGTCCGTTAGGTTTACAGGTGTCCAGAAATGATCAGTGTGGCCTAAATTTCTGGAAAAAAAAAAAGTAGGAGGGGATTAATTCTTTGGAAATCGTATGTGGTTTCCAGCCTGGCCTATTGCACCCATGATACAGTCGAAACAGTTGAGATGCAGCTGGGGAAAGCCCACAGGAGAGAAAGATTCAGAAGCCGTTTTGCAGCCTCCCCGGGTCTGGGTCAGACTCAGGCATGCTTCCTGTACCAAGGGTTGAAGTCAGAAGTCCGTGTCCTGGACCATTCATTAATTCCAGGTTGTATTGTTCACACTTCAGAGGTACTTTGGGAAGTGTTTTGGGCTGACAACATGTGCAAGGTGCAAAGGCCGATTTAGCCCTTTTCTAGAAGCTTCTGGGGCCCCTGCAGACTGTGTGGTCAGGGAGAATATACGTGCTTCAGGTGGACTCCAAGGGAGCCTGCCAGTGGGCACTCTCCTACGGGTCAAGTTTCGTGGCTCTTGCCACTTCACATCTTGCTGTGGCCTTCTCAGCTCTGGGCCACTGGGGTGCCCGTGGGGCCCCTCAACCCTGGCCTGGGCTGCTCTGTACTCCAAGGCCAGGGCACCTGGGCTCCCAAACCGGAAATGTGGATTTCGACAGGTAGGTTACCCAACCTGGGCTTGGCACCTTCAGCCACAGGTGGCAAAGCCTTCGTGGTCCATTTCAGATTCGGGACAATTCTGAGACCCCAAAGATGAGGGCCAGCATCATTCAGGGACTGTGAAGTACCTGCTTAAAAGGACAAAAACAGAAACACACGCCTGAGAAAACTGCCCTTAGAGTCTAGACGTCTGGATAGGTGGTGGAGGGGATGGCTCCCAGGAGCCGGGCCACTGTCTGCTGTAGCTGCATTTGCTGGAGCCACATCCCCTGCCCTCTCCCACTCCGTCTCTCGTCCCAGCTGAGCCGGCTGCCCCCCTGATTCCATTCCCCTGGCAACCGATCTGCGTCGGCTCGTAGCCATCATCGTGCTGACATGCGTCTGTGTTGCTGCAGCCGAGTGTCCCTGCCACCTGCCAGCCTCGCTCTGGCCCACGCGCCTCTCCTTGGGGGAGTGGGGTGGGCAGGAGCGAGAGGGGGAAGGGTGGAGAAGGCCTCTCATCTTAGCATCTCCGGCTGCGGCAGCTTGGCCGAAGGCTGCCCCCCAGCCAGAGGAACTTAGCCTGGGGCAGTGTGGATTTACTCTGTGACCCCAGGCAGTAGCGTTATCCGCTGGGGTCTCAGGTTCCCCAGTGTAAAATCTACACCGTATTTTGTTTTTTTTAATTTAAAGACTCTTTGAAAGCTTATTTTTTTTTAGCTTTTATTTTATCTTGGCATATAGCAGATTAATAACGTGGTGATAATTTCAGGTGGACAGCAAAGGGACTCAGCCATACACTGTGTTTTCTTGGAGAGAATTCTATGTCTGGAATTCTCTCTTTGGGATTAAGACACCGCCGGCCCCTTTTGCAGTGCTAGCCCAGATGACTTTATAATTCAAAATATGACCTCAAGGAAAGGGATTTGGAACAGATATATAACATGAGTGACCAAAAGGCTGGAGACAGAGTCCCCACTGGGGGCAGCGACGTGGTGTCGCAGGGTGAATGGGTCCAGCTGGGGACCCACTAGCTCACCTCCCAGTTTGGCTGAATCAACAGGTCTCTTGTGAGTTCCCTAAGGGCAGGGGGCATGTCCTGTGCTTCTGGTCCCCCCAGAGCTGTGGGGTGCGGCCCAAGGAAGGGGCTCAGGCCGCAGCACCTGGATGAAGAGTTTCCTGGGACAGTGCCAGGTCCCTCTGCCACACCCTTCTCTCCAGGTGCCGCCCCACAGCGCAGTGTCCAGCCCCTTCTTGGTGCCGAGTGCTTGACTAGGCCCAGAGGAGATGGGGATGACCCTTGTCCTGCCCTCAAGAAGCTTGCAGTGCAGTTAGGGGCGACGAGAAAATGTCTATTTCAACCCAGGGTAAGCTGTGTGCCAAGTTGTTGGGAGAGCGCTGAAGAGGTGGGTGGGTGGGTGGGTGGGGGGAGTCAGGGAGGGCTTCCTGGAAGAAGTTATATCCACAGACATCTAGGTGAAGGAGAGCAGTGGGGACAGCATCTGCACAGGCCTTGAGGCTATGGAGGACAGAGCAAGTGTTAAATCTACAGCATGGATGTGTCAAGACACGAACCTGGATTCCCTCTACCCGGAGGCTGGCCCGTGATCAGATGAACTGTGCGGAAGCTGCTTGCTGGGGTGGCTGAGACCAGGGCAAGACTGGAGGCCAAGGGTCAGTGGGCAGGATGGAGCAGTAATCTACCAGATGGGGGCTTCCCAGGGTGGCGCTAGTGGTCAAGAATCCGCCTGCTGGTGCAGGAGACGCAAGAGATGCATTGATCCCTAGGTTGGGACCATCCCCTGGAGGAGGAAATGGCAACCCACACCAGTATTCTTGCCTAGATAATCCCATGGACAGAGGAGCCTGGGAGTCCATGGGGTCGCAAAGAGTCAGACAGGACTGAGCATACACACACACATATGCAAGTGGTGTTCGCAGTGATGGAGAGGAGCAGTGAGAGTGGCAGGGGCCCAGGGACTGGGTCTTGAAACAGTTGGACCCTCTAACCAGACAGAGAATGACAGGTAATGAGAATGGTAGGTTTGGGAGGGGAGAAAGCTAGGGGGTCTAGAACAGGGGACCCCAACCTCTGGGATTAATGCCTGATGATCTGAAGTGGAGCTGATGTAATAATGATAAAGTGAAGTACACAATAAACGTGATGCACTTGAATTGTCCTGGAACCATCCCCACCCTGCTCCCTCCCCAGCTCAGTGGGAAAATTGCCTTCCGTGGAACTGGCCCCAGGTGCCAAAAAGGAGAGGAACTGCTGCTGCATTCCTGACCTACAGAACTTTGGATGGTGAAGGATATTCTGTGCTGTCCGGGAGAGCTATGGCTCTTGAGTGCTTGAAATGTGGCTCTGGTGCAATGGAGGGACTGAGTTTTTTAGTATTAATTACATTTAAGTGATTAAACGTAATGGCATGTGGTTAGTAGCTACTACATTACTGCTTAGTAGAATTGAAGTCACTATTCCGGGGTTCTGTCAGCATTTATGGGGTACCAGAAGCCAAGGGAGGGGGTGCATGTGGCCGGGAAAGGGAGAGGTGGAGGGACTGAAATGACGGGGGGGTGTCGTGGCCCTTCCTCCCTTCCTTCTGTCACTTCACCTGCCCAGGTTTGCCCTGCCACAGGCTGGGCAGTCTCTAACCTTGCAAGCCCTTCAGATATCGCACCTGAAGAGGAAAACCCAAATTGCAGGAAAAAAGTTACCAAGACATGCAGTAGTGCTGTTGGCGAGAGGGAAGGGTTCTGGGAATTCAGATACACCTGCTTGAGGAATTATCTTGCAACTATTGAAGTTCACTTTAGGATGCCCGCGGACATCCTTCTGATATGTTGCCATGTGGAAATAAAATCATGCAGTTGTGTGCAGAGGGTGATTCTGATGAAATTGAAACTTCAGTGCATGAAAAAGAGCCGGAGGACCTTAATCTGTTAGTAGTTGTTGTTTTTTTTGGGGGGGAGTGTAGGGTAATAGGACACGTCTAATACTTTTTATGCATATGTATTACTTTGTGTGTGTGGCCGCGCTGTGTTGTGTGGCATGCGAGATTTTAGTTCCCCAGCCAGAGATCAAACCTACGCCCCCTGCATTGGGAGCATGGAATCTTACCCACTGAAGATTCCAGGGAGGTCCCTGGATTAACTTTTATGATGGAAACAAACCTGATTTTTAAAATCTTACCAGTGAGTATGATAAAAATCTGCAGCTATCTAGAGCAGGTGAAGAATAATAACTTAGGAAGATGCTTGATATGCAAAACCAGCAACAACAGTGGAATAATCTCAGAGTAAGCATAATTTGAAAAAAATAGTAAAAAATGTCCAAATATAGTAAGAGGGATCATTGCTGACTATTTAAAAACTTTTCTTTTTTTAAAAATTTTATACCTTTCTGTATTTTCAGATTATAATTAGTCTTACCTTCAGTGTAAGACTGAATGGTCTTGGTTGGGTGGGGAGTATTATTTAAAAGGCCTCTTATGTGGACTCCATTCCATGCCCACCAGGCCCTGTTCTCTCTCTCTTTTGAAAAAATATTTGTTGATTTAAAAAAATATTTATTTATATTATTTGGCCATGCCAGGTCTTCGCTGAGGCACACAGAATCTGTCTTCTTTGTTGCGGCATACAGGATCTTTTTTTCAGTTGTAGCATGAGGAATCTTTTTTTTCCAGTTATGACATGAGGGATCTAGTTCCCTGACCAGGAATTGAACCCGGGCCCCCTGCGTTGGGAGTGCAGAGTCTTAGCCACTGGACCAGCAGGGAAGTCCCCAGGCCCTGTTCTCTGCTTGCAACCTGCAAGTCTTAATTCCCAGATTCCCTGTAAGAGCTGTGTCCCCAATATGTCAGTTCAAGTTCCCCAAGGAGCGGACCCAGCTGGAATCAGCTCCAGCACTGGCCCTGGCCGAGACCCTGGAGGTCCCTGAGAGCGTGTGGTCCAATGGAGCTTTCTGTGATAACAAAGATCTGTATCCACAGTGTCCACTCTATGACCCTTGGCCACATATGGCTGTTGAGCCCTTGGAACGTGGCCAGTGCGACTGAGAAAGTGATGTTTATTTCCTTTTGATTGAAGCTTCAGAAGCCACACACGGCTAGTGGAACCGTATCGGGCGGCTCAGATCTAGAGGCTCTCAGTTTATGGATTTGCAGACAGAGAACGAAGAGCAGGGGCCTTCTCTTGGATCACGGAGACCCTTCCTCCCAAGGCTCGTCTGCCGTGTCAAGGCGTGCAGCCTCTAAGGGGGTCCAGATTCAGCTCTGTGTTTCAACTTGGAATTTTGTTTCACATGTAAAGCTCGGCCCCAAAGAGTGGGTAATGGGGGGTGCTTTCTGGGCAGCAGCTGCAGTGGTTCCTCCTGTGACATGAACTGATGGTCATTTTTATAGCTGAGAAGCATGGCTGGGTCAGCAGACTCATGCTCTGTAAGACCCTGCGTGGCTGGCATGAGAAAAGAAAATACATTGAGACACTGGAAAGAGTGTGGGTTTGGAGTCAGCCAGGCCTGGGTTTGAACCTCCACGTGGCAATGTATGATCCTTGGGCTTGTCCCTTGACCTGCCTCAGTTTCTCCACCCGTAAGATGAATAGACACCCACCCAGCTGGGGCAGTGGGGCTCTTGGCCATGCCCTCTACCTGAAACACAGCCTCTGTTTCTGGGTTCCTAGGCCTGTATGAACTTCAGCTCACCACCGATGGCCCTGCCACCACGGGCGCAGAGGTGACCATCACGGCCAGCCTGGTGGCCGATGACAACGGCAGCCTGGCCCTGCCCGCCAGCACCAGCCTCTACCGCTTCCACTGGATCCACACCCCACTGCTGCTCACGGGGAAGGCGGACGAGGCTTTCAGCTCCACCATCCGTGTCGTGGGGAGCGTGCCCGGGGACTTCCCAGTCTCCGTCTGGGTCACTGCCGCCGACTGTGGGATGTGCCAGCCTGTGGCCAGGAGCCTCCTCGTCCTCCCCATCACCGGTGAGGACCTTCCCTCGTCGCTGATTTGCCTTCAGGCTCTTGGGGCAGAGAAAACGGGCATCACAACCATCACACACAGGCAGATTAGACCCATGTTCTCAGTTGCGGTCAGTTGAGTTAACAAAGGGTCAGAAAATGGTAATACCCACTGCTGGCAGGTCTGTGCTAAAATGGAAACAAAGTGCATATTTGCTACTGGGCTGTAAATTAATACAACGCTTTTGGAGAGGAGCTGATCCATATATGTCAATGGCTGTAAATCATTTTAGTCTTCAGCTCGTTCTTTCTCTTTCTCTCTTTCCCTGTCCCCCCCACCCTTCTCTCTTTCCCCTTCTTCCTCCCTCTTTCCTCCCTCACACCCTCCCTCCCTTCTCTTTCTTTCTAAGAACTCCCTGCTTTCTTAGAGTTTACAGTCTATTTTTTCTTCTTACTTATTTGGCTGCACTGGGTCTTATCTGCATGCAGGGTCTTCAGTTTCAGCATGGGAACTCTTAATTGTAGCATGTGGGATCTAGTTCCCAGACCCCCTGCATTGGGAATATGGAGTCTTAGCCACTGGACCACCAGGGAAGTCCCTACAATCTATTAAAGAACTTATCTTCAGGTAATAAACCTCCATTCGGGTAATGGTTTATGCACGAAGGTGTTCATCACAGTTTCTGTGGTAACAGGAAAGTGGAGCCAAGCTAAGTATGCAACCATAAGAATACTGATCTGATTTATAATAATAATGATCTTTACAAAGAGTGTGTTTTAGCCTGGGAGAGTACTCATGCTTGTAAATTTTTAAACATCAAAATGAAATTCTATGACCAATTGGATCAACTGTGTTTAATGTATGTGTGCCTTATATACATACACACGTGTACTTGGCAGTGGGCTTCCCTGGTGGCTCAGTGGTAAAGAATCCACCTGCAGTGCGTCAGATGTGGTTCCATCCCTGGGTCGGGAAGATCCCCTGGAGAAGGAATGGCAACCCACTCCAGTGTTCTTGCCTGGAGAATCCCATGGAGAGAGGAGCCTGGTGGGCTGCAGTCCATGGGGCTGCAAAAGAGCTGGATATGACTTAGTGACTAAATAACAATAACAAATGTGGTCAGTAGAAATGCTCATTTTTTTTCTAGGCTCATCTAATACTTTGAAATATTTCCCGAGAGTCGATTTAAAAGCCTGCCCATTTCCTCCTAGTCCTGGGCATCTCTTGTGCCAGAAAGCTCAGAGTCCTGGTGGAAGGGGTAGAGGAGTGGAACTGTGTGTGTAACACCGGGAGTGGGTCTTCACCAGCGCCCACTGGCCCGGGGCAGGGCCTCGGAGGGGGGCATATGACTCTGTGTTCGGAGACCTGCAGGGTCCCCTCTTGCTATCACAACGGTGGCAGTCAAGAGGGTGGGCGGGGGAGAGGCGACCCTGCCGGCCAGCACGTGGCTCCGCCCTCCGCCACCCTGGGGGCGGGGGACTCACCCGCCCGTGGTTTCTCCCTCGCAGAGTTCCTCGTGGGGAGCCTTGTGGTCTCCCAGAACACCTCCCTGCCCTGGCCCAGCTCCTACCTCACCAAGACAGGCCTCAGAGTCGCCTTCCTCCTCCACGACCCGAGCAACTTCTTCAAGAACGCCTCGTTCCTCTACAGCTGGGACTTCGGAGACGGGTGTGTTCTGACCCCCTTTGATGCCCCAGATTCCTGGCCTGTGCGGAGTGCTGTGTACTCCGCCATCTTCACCGTCTCACTCTCACTCCGAACATGCCTGCACACCTGCTCTGTGTCAACCTCGGGGTCCCTGGGGACCAGTGTGAGCCAGTCTAACCCCTAACAAAACCTGTTCCAAATTTACAAATTTAAAATAGTAAGCAGTGAACATTATAAACCAGGGCTAGATTGCAATGTAGATGATGATCTCCTGCAATTGAATAGTTTGGCAGTGGGGAAGGCATTTCTAAGAATACAAATAAAAGGTAGAAACTGTATAGGAAAAAAATGCTAAGTTTGGCATCATCAGATTTAAAATTTGAAATGAAAGAAGCAAGTTGAGCCAAAAGATAATGGTTAAACTGGAAGAAAATATTTGGAAGATATAGAATAGGTAAAGGTTCAATGAACTTCATATGTAAAGAGCATCAGCAAATCAACAGAAATATTTTCTTTATTGTTACTCAAGTTCCTTTCAAAGTGATTCAGGTAATTGTAGAGGAAAAAGTCATAACCTATGATGGAGGCATGATTCTTCCTGTTTTACAGATGAGAAAAGTAAGGCTGAGAGTTATGTAGATAGGAAATTTGGAGCTGAGATTCAAAGCCAGATTTATCTTAACTCCAAAGTTTGTATTTCTCCCCTTCCCAGATCATCTCTATCTAACACACGGTCTTCCCTTGGTCTGGCTGGGGCTGCAGGACACTTCCTGGCAGGTGACAGGCACCTGTTGCTAAGAGTTCTTCTTCCTGTAACTTACAAGTCCGAAGATGGCCAGCAGCCACCCCACCCATGTAGGTCAGCTGACCTCATGCCCTGGCTGGCCCTGGGGACTGCTGCTGAGGTGACATTTTTGCTCGCAAAATGACACTGGTCTGAATGTGTCACTGTACACCCAACCGCTGACCCTAAAAAGTCAGGTGGATCACTTCTGTCATCTCTCCCCTCCCCGACATCTTACAGCACCCAGATGGTGACCAGAGATGGTACCGTCTATTATAACTATTCCATCATCGGCTCCTTCACCGTGAAGGTCAAGGTGGTGGCAGGGTGGGAGCAGGTCACATCGGACGCCGGGAGGGGCATTCTGCAGAAGACGGGTGACTTCTCCGCCTCGCTGAAGCTGCAGGGTGAGTCTCGGGGGGTTGGTGTGGGTTGAGCGTTTGGCTCATCGAGGAGCCCTGGGTACCACTCCTTCCAGGGCTGGATCACATACAGAGTGGCTGGCACAGCCCCGCTTCAGGTCCCTTGGCAGCCCTGAGAGGGGCCTGTCATTCCCCACTTCTAAGAGGGCGCTGAAGGCCACGGAGGAGGTTAGGGGGCACCGAGTGGCAGAGCCCAGACACTGTGCCATGATAGGATGCATCCCCATCACTCTGTTTCCAGCTATATCGGCCTCTAGACAAGGACCGTCCTGTCGGGGATGGGACGGCCCCAGTCGGCTGCACCGGGACTTTGACAAAGTCGCTCCTGGCTTTGTCAAGATGGGGCCCTGGGGCAGCTGCAGCCTGTTTCTCAGTCGTGCTAATGGGGTGCTGCTCCTGTGCCCCCCACACAGCACAGATGATGGGGAGGGAGGTAGTTATCCTAAGCCAGCCCCAGGTCCTGCTCACCAGAGTCCTGCTGGCTTCCCCCAGCGGTCTCAGTCTAAGCGGCTCCAGTGTCTGCTGCTGATGTGGAAGCAGGACTCCGGATGTGACCTGTGACCTGCTCTTCAGGAGGGCCAAGAGGACAGGGTGGTGGTCACACAGCCTGGGAACCCCAGGAACCCTGAGGCAGCTGTCGTCAGCCACCAGGTGTAACGAGGTCATCTTCTTTGCCTTTCAGAAACCCTTCGAGGCATCCAAGTTTTGGGGCCCACCCTAATTCAGACCTTCCAAAAGATGGTAGTGACGTTGAACTTCCTGGGGAGGTGAGTGAAGCCCTGAACACACTATGCTTGATCTGTGGTCCTGTCCACACTCCCTCTCAGAGGCTCCTGACCCTGTTTCATCCCTTCAGTTCAGTTCAGTCGCTTAGTCGTTGCTGACTCTTTGTGACCCCATGGACCCCAGCAAGACAGGCTTCCCTGTCCATCACCAACTCCTGGAGCTTACTCAAACTCATGTCTGTCGAATTGGTGATGCCATCCAGCCATCTCATCCTCTGTTGTCCTCTTTTCCTCCCACCTTCAACCTTTCCCAGCATCAGGGTCTTTTCCAATGAGTCAGCTCTTCGCAGCAGGTGGCCAAAGTATTGAGTTTCAGCTTCAGCATCAGTCCTTCCAATGAATATTCAGGACTGACTTCCTTTAGAATGGACTGGTTGGATCTCCTTGCAGTCCAGGGGACTTTCAAGAGTCTTCCTCACACCACAGTTCAAAAGCATCAATTTTTTGGCGCTCAGTTTTCTTTATAGTCCCAACTCTCACATCCATACATGACTACTGGATTTCATCCCTGAGGGGCCCCAAGTTAGGGAGCACACGGAGTGATGAGCCCACCCTTAACTGGGCTATGGGAGAGTCACAGCATGACTCCATTCTCAACGTCCAGGGGAGGGAGCACTGGCCCTGTGGGGCTGTCTGCACCATGGGAATGCTCTCACTCCTTCAAATCTATAGAATGCCGACTTATCCTTTCAGAGCCTACTCAAACGCCACCTCCTCCAGGAAGCCTTCCCTGACTCCCTCATTGAAAGCGTGCTTCTCCGTCCCCTTGACACACCAAGGGCGTCACTGGAGCATGCATTCTGCCTCGTCCAGCAGTCTGCACATGTCCCTCTGTCTGTCACTGCCCTGGCCTCCCCTTGGAGTCTCGGTCCATCTCTTATGTACTACCATGTTCCCTGGAGGCCTGGGCACCTGGGAGTTCTTCCCTGGAAAGAACACTGAAGTTCTTGACTGCCTGACCTTTCTTGGACTTGGTCTGTGCTCACACCCCTTGGCAAGCCATTGCTGAAAGAACACCCCCGTTTCCCTGCAGCCCCCCTCTGAATGTGTGCTGGCGTCTTAAGCCTGAGTGCCTCCCGCTGGAGGAAGGGGAGTGCCTCCCGGTGGCAGTGGACAGCACCGCTTACAACCTGACCCACATCTTCCGGGATCCCGGGGACTACTGCTTCAGCATCCAGGCTGAGAACGTCATCAGCAAGACGCACCAGTACCACAAGATCCAGGTGTGGCCCTCCAGTAAGTGACACTTTGCCTTTGCTCCCAGCAAAAACCCGTCACTCCTGCGACCGCCACCGGTCACCCTTGGTCCACCCATGGTCATCAACAGCCAATCCCACTATTACTAGAATCGTCGGTAACCCTGCCGGCCCCAATCAACACCATGGCTGACCACCCGTAGCACCACCACCAAACTCTAGTGCCATCAGCCACTGCTCCAGCCCCCCGATACCAGCCCCCATCAGTCCCACCAACACCACCCTAACCACCACCACTAGCCATAACAACAGCAAACTCAGCTGTTGCCAGGCGACTTGTCCAAAACCACGGCCACCATCACCACACACTATGGACTGTTCTTCCAGCATCTTCACGAGCTAGAGTCAGCACTGCCATAGCAATCACCCTGGCCACCATCAGCACTGCTGTTGATGCCCCTGCTCCCAGCCCTGGCACCCACCATTTGGGCCGGCGCCATCTGTGCCATGCTGCCCCGGGATCATCCCAACTTCAGCTCTCATGTTGCCGCCGCCGCTGGCGGTGGGCAGTGTCCCTCCCACACGTGACCTCTGCCACCCTTGTCCCTGGCACGAGCCCTCCATTCTCCGCTGCCGTCACACCCACCCCATCGCCTGCGTCTCCGTGTTTTTGCTTCTACCAAAAACAAGCATCTCCGATGGCAACCGTGCTGGCCTCACTGGGCTGTCAGGAGTCTCCCAGGGAGTGCGGGCAGCTCAGAATGTGTGCGGTGCAGCCTCTCTCATTTATCCGGGCACCCAGCCGAACCCCTGGCGTACTCTTTCCCAAACGGTCACACGGTCCAGCCGCTGACTTGCAGCCATGGGGTTAGCTGATGACAGCATCAGGTCCTCCCATTCACTTCCAGGGGCTCCTCCTCTATGACCCCCAACGAGGGTTTTCTTACATAGAGGAGAAAGGATCTCAGGCCCTAGGGATGGTCTTTCAGATGCTCAGCCAGGTCCCACCCTGTGCAGAACTAAAGGGGATGCTCCCTGCCAGCTGCACTTGCCCCAGGGTTGGCCCAGCAATGCACCCGATGTGGTCACCGCCCCCTTGTCTCCCCAGCCCCTCCTACTTGAGCCGACTCTGTGCTCTGCCCTGGGCCCTGGCTGACCCTGTGTGCCAGGCAGACGCTTTGACCTGCGGGCATTCCCGGCGGCCTTGGGCCCTGACTCCCCCAGCATCTCCTGGGCATTGAGCACCTGGAATCCCCTGAATCCTGCGGAGAAGGGGGATTACCTGGCACTGCAGGTAATCCACGCCGCCTTTCCTCGGAGACAGATCCTTTTGGTGTACGGTGGTGTCTCTACCTGAAGGAGAGCGGGGGAAGGGTGAGAAGGAACCCACCCTTGCTGATCACCTGCCTTGCGCCCGCCTCACCTGGTTGCATCTCCATGGCCGCCTCGTGGGTCAGCATGACCATCAGGTCACCTGGGCAGAGCCAGGATTTGAACCCAGGACCCGCTGGACTCTTCTTGCTCTGCCCTGTGGCTTCCTCGCAACAGGATCTAAGCGAGCGAGCCCAGAGCTGCCGAAGGTCACGGGGGTGCTTAGGTGTCCTCATGCCCTGGCCTTCTTCCCCAGAGCAAGTCACCCAAGAGAGTAAGGAGGAAGCTGCCGGGTCTTTCATGGTCTAGGCTTGGAAGTTGTAAGTCATCCCTCTGTCCTCTGCCGCTATTTAGGAGCAAGTCACTATGAGTCCAGCCCACACTCTGGTGGGAAATTTAGTTGCACTATTTGAAAGTTAGTGTCAAGTATCGCAGTAAAACCCCGACAGACCCTTCCTTGGGTTTTGTGAAATCCTGGGTTTGCCTATCGGAATTGGCTCACTGGGATGCACGTGCACAAAGAGGGAAAAGGCTCTGGCGGGCTCTGTCCTCTCCCCGATGCTGAACCCTGAGAGCTGGTATTCAGCACTGACTTCCCAGGCTCGTGACTTCACCCTCTCTTCCTCCCAGGCATCCAGCCGGCTGTCTTTGCTTTCCCGTGTGCCACGCTCATCACCATGATGCTGGCCTTCATCATGTACATGACCCTGAGGAATGCTACTCACCAGAAGGACATGGTGGAGGTGGGTGCTCGGTGGGGTGGGGTGAGGGTGGGGCTGGACTCCTGGCCTTCACAGGAGAGGATTTGCAGAGAGGGCGAGAAGGGCCAGACCAGGGGGGGCTAGGAGGTGGTCTGGATGTCAAAGCAAGACCCTGGGGCTGGGGCTGACGTACCTATGAAGCATCCATGACTGGGGCCCCATTGATAAACTTGGTTGCCTCTCAGGTCACTTACCTCCTACTCCGCTTGCCCGTGGCCCGCCAGCCATGCCCACGAACTGGTAAAGGAGCAGGCAGCCAAAAGCAGGGGCAACCCAGAGAGCGGAAAAGCCAAGGGCACAGGGAAGCACCGTGTAGTGTCCGAAAGGTGTTTCTGTGCATGCTGCACCCAGGCAGCTGAGCTTGTAAGAGGCTGCCCAGATGGGCTGCTGAGCTCATAAGGCCACCTCACAGGGCTCCTGGTGGGTGGGAGGGTGATTGACCCGTGGGGTTCTGTTCACCATAGGTGGCTGATTTTGACTTTTCCCCCATGTCTGACAAGAACCCGGAGCCGCCCACTGGGGTCAGGTGCTGCTGCCAGATGTGCTGTGGGCCCTTCTTACTGGAGACGCCATCTGAGTACCTGGAGGTCGTCCGCGAGAACCACGGACTGCTGCCGCCCCTCTACAAGTCTGTCAAAACTTACACGGTCTGAGCGCCACCCACCCCCAAACCCAGTTTCAGTGTTAACTGACTGCTGCCCGGGAATTTGGGACAGTGTCGGGGGCAGACTGGTGCACGCCATGAGTGCAGGGCCATCCACCCTGACTGGTCATCCATCTGTACAGTCTAGATGCCTCCACAAGCCCGACTCAGTCCCACCTCCCAGCCATTCCATCCATCTATACGGTCGGAAGCCTCTCTCGGTCAGCCCCGCCCCACCCCTTGCCTTTGAGGAGGCCCCCAAGCGGGGCTCCAGCACTGGACGTGGTCCCTGTTCTCTCCTAGGAGTGCCCGCTGCCCCCCACCGATTCCTCCCCTATTTGGCATATTCGCCTTCCATCTGGGGTTCACACTTTCCTCCCCCAGGTGGCCCTGCCCAGGTCAGAGAGCTAGGAGAAAGCTCACAGATGGTTAATTCAAGGCTACATCACGTAAGGTCTTACATACAGGGATAAGCGTGCACGACGTCACCCAGATGTTTCAGATGACTTCCTCTCTCTCAGTGAGTTGGTTGCTGAGATGTCCCATTGATCAGAACTAAAAGGAAACCTGACCTTCCCCACGTGGCCCCGACAGCTCCGGGGCCTGGCTCCTCCCTTTGTGTCCTGTCCCAGGGGCTCCTGGGTCCCCTTCTAAGGACACCCTGTTCCCCATCTGCTTGCTGGGGTTCGGGTGGGGGGGCAGGGCTAATGCTTTGTGAGTGTGAAGTGCTTCGTAGACAGCACTTTGTTTTATTGAGCCTGTTTCAACTTGTATCGAGAAAGAGGCTTTGCGGCAAAAGAAAGAGTCAGGCCAGGGGGGGATCTTGGGTACCCTGTGTGAGGGACAGAGTTCTCGCCCCTTTAACTGCTCCCAGGGTGGCCTTGAGAGGGAAGAGGATGGACAGAGTTCTCGCCCCTTTAACTGCTCCCAGGGTGGCCTTGAGAGGGAAGAGGACTGGATGGAGCCCAGGGTGGGGGACCAGTCCACCCCTCTCCCTTTGGCCCAGCAGCCGGGGGGAGGCAGGTCATGTGCAGAGAGCGTGAGTACAGAGGGACCCATCCAACCATGTAGGAGTGGGGAGCAACCCGGGCCTGTCTGGGGAGGGAGCAGGGCCACGGAGGCCGAGCTCTGTCACCGTAATTGTTTGCTCTCAGACTTTGTGCTGAAGACAGCATCCCCACTGTTGTACAGCTCATACTCATAAATACTGCCGTTACTGCTGAATAAAGCTTGTATGCTCCGACAATAGCCAAGCCCGGGGCGGGTGGCCAAGTCTCTTCCTTTTCCGTGCCTGGACGCTTGCGCCTTGCAGGTAGCAGGAGAGGTTCTTGGATGTAGCAGGACGTCCCCACCACGTTCTCCAGCAGGTGCACTGGATGGAGCCGCTGTCCGGGGCTCCTGTCTGGGCTTGGACCGATGGTCCTCAAACTGCCGCTTAGGCTGCCTCACAGACGATCGGTCCTGCGGGTCCCCCGGAGGTGGGTCCGGGAGCCCCCAGGTGACTCTTAAGTCTGAGACTCTGGGGGTGACTCTTGGTCAGGGTGGGACGTGGGACATAGGCCACACCTGGGAACTTGGAAATGCTGCTCCCCGGGCCCCGTGCCACACCCAAAACGGCTCCTGGGAGGGGGGCAGCCCCAGTGCACCCTCAAGTGTGAGAGCTTCCTGTTTCCAGCAGGACCTCTTGAACTTTGTTCAAACACTAGAATTTAGGGGTAGGTTTGAGAAAAGAGATTAAGTTTGCATGCTTCGTCGTTCAGTTGTGTCCGACTCTTTGCAACCCTTTGAACTGTAGCCCACCAGGCTCCTCTGTGCATGGGATTCTCCAGACAAGAACCCTGGAATGAGTTGCTATACATACCAGGGGCTCTTCCCCACCCAGTGATTGAACCCACGTCTCTTATGTCTCCTGCATTGGCAGGTGGGTTCTTTATCACAAGTGCCACATGGCTTCCCTGATGCTCAGCAGGTAAAGAATCCCTGTGCAATGCAGGAAACAGGAGATGTGGGTTAGATCCCTGGGTTGGGAAGATCCCCTGGAGGAGGAAAGGCAACCCACTCTATTACTCCTGCCTGAAAAATTCCATGGACAAAGGAGCCTGGTGGGCTACAGTCCTTAGGGTTTCAAAGAGTCAGATATGACTGAGCAAATAAGCACCTGGTTATAGCCAATTAACAATGTTATGATAGGTTTAGATGAGTAGCATAGGGACTTAGCCATACATATATACATGGATCCACTCTCCCCCAAACTCCCCTCCCATCCAGGCTGCCACATAACATTGAGCAGGGTTCCGTGTGCTATACAGTGGGTCCTTGTTGGTTATCCATTTAAAATAAAGCAGTGTGTATGTGACCTTCCCAAACTCCCTAACCGTCCCACCCCCTGGCAACCATAAGTTCGTTCTCTAAGTCTGTGAGTCTGTTCCTGTTTTGTAAGTTCATTTGTATTGTTTCTTTTTAGATTCTACATATAAGGGATGTCTCATGATATTTCTCCTTCTCTGAGAAATGTCAGAATTCTATATTAGTTCACCCTATACCTGCTCCCCAGCCCCAGATGGCAAAAGGGCTGGGCAGCTATTCCCAGCAGCCTACAGTTCTAGGAGGGACCTCACCATGGCTAATGAGAGGCTTCGGGTTCTAATGACCACAGAATGTCAGGAGCAGAAGCAACTGAATGTATTTTTGCCGGTACCTCTTAAGAGCCATGTTTTCCTTGAAGAAGCCCATCACCCCAGACATGCCCAGGTGTCTCAGAAGGTTTCTGAGAGTTTAAGCCTGATAGGATTAAAGTGGGTTTCCAAGGCAAGGTAGATGAATTCATCTATTCTGGGTTGAATAGCTGTTGTTATTGTTGTTCAATCGCTAAGTCATATCTGACTCTGCAGCCCCATGGACTGCAGCACGCCAGGCTTCCCTGTCCATCACCAACTCCTGGAGCTCGCTCAAACTCAGGCCCATTGAGTTGTGATGCCATCCAACCATCTCATCCTCTGTCGTCCCCTTCTCCTCCTGTCTTCAATCTATCCCAGCATCGGGGTGTTTTCCAGTGAGTTGGCTCTTGGCATCAGGTGGCCAAAGTATCGGATAATGACTTTCCTTAAATTCATATCCACCCATCATCTGCGAATGGGCACTTCTGTGGAAAGAGTCTCTACAGATGTGATCAGGTTAAGATGAGGTCTTGTTCATGGAGGATACAGCAGGGGCCATAGCTGGGCTGGAACCTGGCTAAGGGGCTGAGGAGGACCTGGGACCACCAGGCAGGATCTGGGTCAGGGGCTCTTAACCTGAGGATGCCTGACTCCCAAGGGACCCATGGAGAGAATTCACCAGCCTGGAAGGGAGAAATGACATCTCTGCTGTTAGAAACCTTTGATCAAATCGAGGTCATAAATATAGGCCCGATACTGTCATCAGCAGTTTCTGTGGCTTTGCCATCAGTAACAGTCACAAATGCGTTCACATCACATTCCAATTGTGAATCTCTCAAAACGACATTTATGCTGATTATGCCTTCAGAAATACAGTTGTTATTAGACTTGCCGCTGGATCTTATTTCACTGAGCACATATGTTACAATTGCTATTTTGATAACTTGTTGCCTTTGGAATCCTATTATTTACTATTATGCTTTCAAAAACATTCTGATTTATTCTGATGACTGGATCTGACTGCAGAGGAGCTCAGGGTGCCAAGAAGGCTACCAGACCCCTGTAGCTGTACCCTGGGGCGGTCCTCGGGGGACACAGGGGTGACAGGGAACTTTGCTTTTTTTGTCCCAGAGAGAAGGATCCTTCCGGGGGCGTCTGACCCAGGAGACGAGGTGTCAGGTCCCCATGGGCCACCTGCTTGCAGTGCCCAAGGTGACCAGCAGGTGGCAGCCCTTCTCAGCGTTGCTTCAGCAGTTGCCTCCTTCCAGGGCAGCCTGTGGGCACCAGAGGAATACAAGGGCCACGGATGGCGTGGGTCCTGGCAGCTGTGGCACCCACATAGCTGTGAATACACAGGCACACGCCACATGCATGTGCGCATGCTCACACTGACAGCCGAAGGAGCCTACCTGGGAATCAGCTTCCAGAACATCCTACCCCTTCCAGGACGGAAGGCATCCCCAGGACAGTTGCCCTTGAGAAGTCCTTTCAGAAGAGGAACTGCTTTGTTCTTTCTCATCTCTCCCTTCCCTAATAGCTTTTCTGAGGTGTCCGCAGGTCAGCACAAGGCAAGAGCTCCAGCCACAAAAATAATCTAACTGCAGCGGAGGTGGGCTTCCCAGGTGGCCCTTGCGGTAAAGAACCCACCTGCCAAGGCAGGAGATAGAGTGAAATGCCGGTTTGATCCCTGGGTCGGGAAGATCCCCTGGAGAAGGAAATGGCAACCCACTCTAGTATTCTTGCCTGGCGAATCCCATGGACAGAGGAGCCTGGCAGGCTGCAGTCCATAGGGTCGCAAAGAGTCAGACACGACTAAAGCGACTTAGCACATGGGAAGTGGGGTGAGGTGTAGACCTGAGTCCTGGCCTGGCTCCCAGACCTCGGGCAAGCGACTTAACCTGTCCAAACTCTAGTGTCTGTGTGTTGCACAATTTGTATAGAGACTGAACTCTTACAACTCAATGTCTATAAGACAAACCATGCAAATGGAAAATGAGCCAAGGACTTGAATAGACATTTCTCTAAAGAAGATGTACAAATGGCCAATAAACACAGGAAAAGATGCTAAATATCATTAGTCATCGGGGACACACAAAACCACAATGAGACACCACTTCATGCCCACTGGGATGGCTGTAACCGAAAGCAAAACAGTCAAACCGAAACAGTAAGTACTGGCAAGGATGTGGACACACAGGAATCCCCGTACGTTGCCGGTGAGAATGTAAACTGCAAGACAGTTTTGGCAGTTCCTCAAAAAGTTCAACATAGAATTACCATGTATGCATGTGTGCTCAATTGTGTCTGACTCTTTGCGACCCCATGGATTGTAGCCCACCAGGCTTCTCTGTCCATGGGATTCTCCAGGCAAGATACTGGAGTGGGTTGCCATGCCCTCCTCCAGCGGATCTTCCCAACCCAGGGACTGAACCTAGAATTACCATATGACCTAGCAATTCCACCCCTAGGTATAGACCTAAAAGATCTGAAAACAGAGACTCAGATACTTGTTCATAAGTATTCATGGCAGCACTATTCACAAGAGCCCAAAGGTGGAAAGAGCTGACATATATATATACACCAACAGCAGAATGAATGAGCAGACTGCGCTACATGCATACAATGGAATATCACGTGCCTGCTCAGTCTCTCACTCATGTCCAACTCTTTGCAGCCCCGTGCAACTTCTTTGTAGCCCGCCAGGCTCCTCTGGCCATAGAATTTTCCAGGCAAGGGTACTGGAGTGGGTTGCCATTTCCTCCTTCAGGGGATCTTCCCAACCTGACCCAGGGATTGAATCTCTATCTCCTGAGTCTTTGCATTGGCAGGCAGATTCTTTACCACTGCGCCATCTGGGAGGCCCACAACGGAATGCATTCGGCCTTCAAAACTAATGAAATGCCACTACAATAAGAATAAACCTCAAAAATATTATGCTCAGTGAAAGAAGTCTGCCATAAAAGGCTACACATGTGTCATGATTCCATTTATATTGTGTCCAGAACAGGCAAATTTAGAGAGAGAGAAAGCAGATTGGTGGCTGTTGGGGGTTGGAGGGGAGAGGAGGGAATGGGAAGGGATTTTTTTTTCAAAATATGGGGAATAACATTTATTATATTTATACTGTACATATACAACTGGCAACAGGCTTAGGGGACTGTTTAGCTAGGGTCAGGAGACATGTTTCTGACTTAATGGTAAAACATTATTTAATATATTAATATCACAGGGTCTTCTGCTGGGAGCTCTGTTAGGCGAGTCACCACATTCTGGGGCATATATTGGGATATTTTTTTTTTTTTTTTTTGCTGGGGAAGGGATTATTTAATTCAACTGTCTTCAACCTCTTTGGCACCAGGGACTGGTTTCGAGAAAGACAATTTTTTCATGGACCAGGGTTGGTGGGGGAGGGGGGCGTGGGTGGTTTCGGGATAATTCAAGCACATTACATTTTGGTGCACTTTATTTCTATTATTATTATATCAGCTCCACCTCAGATCATCAAGCATTAGAATTTGGAGGTTGGGGACCCCGGGTTTAATGGGTAGTGGACATTGTTGGGGATGGTGAACAAAGTTTTGAAACCACAGAAAGTT